AATATATCATTTACCTGTTTTATTTCTAAAGGTATATAAAAGAAAAGTGGTGCTATCATTACTTATCAATTCAAAACGAACTTACTATTTGTTCTAAATTACAAGAATTCTAAAATTTTTGTTTAACTTATAAATGTTTACTTTCTTTATGAATTACTATTTTATATTTTTAAGGGGTGACTATTGAAATCAAACATGTTAAATAATTTTTGTAATATTCTCTCTTTTAAAGTTGATTCATCCTACTGTTGTTGATACATCAGTTGTATTTCCTCATAAAATGGGATTGCCATATAAAAGAGCTTTAAAAACCTTGATGGGAGAAAAATTGAATAAAATTATTCAAAATGATGGTAAGTAAAAGTTCAGATCCTTTAGTAGAAATATATCTTCGTACTGCTCAGAATGTTATAATTATTTTTAACCCACTGACGATTCTGCACGTAAAAAGTTGCATTTTAACCTGCTGTCTTCTCCACATAGCAAAACTGGTTTTTCCATTTTTATAGATAGGAAAATAGTGTATAAGGGAGAAACATTCTGATTTTGCCCATTTGCTAAACCGCCAGTGGGTTAAAGCTTTTGTTGATAATTTATTTTTGTAAATGAATATGTTAGATATTTTATACATTCAGTGTTGAAATGCTGAATAATTTCAAGGAAATCATGACATAAGCTAGTGCTGCCAAAATATGAAATTAAGTATTCAAGCCCTGTTTACATTTATTGTTTTTATCTGTATAATTTTCAATATATATTATCATTCATGGATTTTTCATGTTATAGTGATATATATTTTATTGCTGTTATATTTTCAAGCTCTTTTCTTCCAATTCTTATTCTTAACAAAAATCAACCATTCCATATTAAAATTATTTTAATTTTAGTTGAACCATTTCCATAATTAAATTCTAAGACCTCTTGTTTTGTCTTCTAAGACTTCCACAATTAATGTTCTCATTTTTACATCTACTTTTCTACTATCTTTAAAATGTTTCAATCACATTTCTTGATTTGATTATTATTTCAACTTTCGTTTTCCATGTTTGAAAAATGCCAAGTATTCTGTTTAAAAATTTCTATGTTAATACTGCCAAAAAATTTCTATCCAAGATTACACAACGATTTTATTACACACATTTTAACATTCATTATTTATACTTATAGTAATATCGCAATAATGTTTCTGTTATGTTTTCTGTAATAGGGATTTTTTAAAAATTTTTTTTATAGCTAATGTGATGTTCATCATACATTTTCCCCCTCTACCTCTTTTATTTTACCAATTACACAGTTGATCACGTTTACTTTGTTAACTTCCATTTTAATCCCTTAATTTGATCTCTCTATGTAAGCTATTTGATATCTTCCAGTTTTATGCTTTGAATGCTTCCAGAATTTTTAAGATGTCAAGAAACGAAAATGTCCGTCATGAAAGTTTCCAAATATATTCTATCTGAAATGTCCTTAAGTTCCCCTATAAATAGAAGAGTGATTTTTCTTTGAAATAGAAAAAGAGATATAATTATGAAAATAGATTACTATTTAGATGTACCACTTGTTAACTTCTAATTATTTATGAAACTGTAACAAGATGTTACTTGATGATGCATTTTTTTTCGAGATGCGAGTCCTATTCAATATGATTTTTACGCTCATGTGGGGAAAAAATGAAGAATATTAAATGAATATGCATTTTTTACGTTTTGTGATCTCTACACCTAATTAATATTAAAAAAAATCTATATAATTTTTTTTTATTTAACCTTTAATAGCTACCTACCTAATTGTATCTCCAATCCTATTATATACTCAGGTTATTTTGTCCTGTGCATTCTATTAAGGATTAGCTTAAGGATAATTTATCCTTTTTATTAATTATTTTTTTAATTACATTAATAGTTGGTGGTCATGACAGTCAAGAAGATGCTGTAGCTTGCATGGAGCTTATGCTATTTAAAGTAAAAGAAGATTTGAAAAACAATAGGTGATAAATAATGTACGATAGGTTATATTTTCTATTCATATGTTTTTCTCAGGAAAAAATTATTCTTTATTCATTACAAAAAAAAATTGAACTCATTTTGTATAATATGGACATTTTTAAATTATGTTACATTTTAGAATTGTCAATTTATGAGTATTATTATTTGTTAAATGATAAGCGTTTTAACAGCAATAAATTGAAAAGAAATATTTCAGCATAAGCACTTTCGAGATCTTCAATTGTTTTGTTTATGCTTAATGTTTTGCTCAGTTTTAATTTTATTTTTCTGTATTTGTTCTACTTTCATTGTATGTTTCCTTTGTGTTTCTATTATTATTACTTATTAAAAAGTGCAAACAACTTATTCATTAAACAAAATTTCACAGTCTAATTTCAACAGATTGTCTTTAGATTAATTTAGTAAATAATTATTACTGTAATTTAAAATTTTGATTTTATGTGATTATTTTTATTTTCTAAAGTTTTTTTTTTTTTGTTAACTTATTCTTTAGCAAAATATAAACAGTAAGATGTTCTGGTGTTATTAAATTCTGCAAAATTTGTTTGAAACCTCTCCTTCTCTGAATACTATTCAAAATTATAAAAACTTATTTTAAATAAATTTCAGAGATGTATAAATGATCGATTTTTGATTACATTGGAATGGTCAATTATGTAATGCCGTTACATGTACTTGCCAAAAAACGCACACTTTAATAAAACCAATTTAAATTACCACTCTCCTTTTTTTCACACTTGTTTCACTGTGATTCTAATTCTTAATTTTTGTTACTACATATTCAGTCATCTAATATTGTTTGAATTCAAAGTTTTTTTTTTTTTTCTTCTGAAATTTGTATGGGCTTATTTAAGCATATCTTAATTTGCGTGAACTTAAATTGTCATTTGTTAAATCGGTATTGATGCTTGTTGAATTTAGTTTTATTTAATATAATTGTACAATTTGTATTGTTAAAAAATTAATTTTCCTTGTTTTGATACCTTTAGGTCAGAAATGGTATATCATTTTGATCTTAGCTTTTATTGTAATAAAATAACATTGCTTCTAAATAATACTTTAATAAATTAACAACTAATCTATCACTTTTACTTCAAAACATAATGATGTTGTTTAATTTTTATGTTGAGTAAATTCTGAGCTTTCATTTGTATGAAACTGAAAGATTAATTTTTATGTCCCAGCTGAGCTAAGAATGTCTTATTTAAAATTATTTAAATAAAATAACGGCTCTATCTATAACGGCTTTATCTCTTATCTACCAAAGCTGAAAGTATTCAATTCTGAAAAGTTTGTCATAGAATTATTTGCCTCTAAGTCACACTGAAACTTTTATATGCGGCTATTTTTGTTTTATTATTTAGGGATTTATACATGATTTGATGTTTAACTATCTAAAGTTTATTTTTATGCTTGTTTTGGTTTTAATAAAATTATTCATAAATTTAAAAAAAATCATTATAATTTAATTGTTGAGAGTTGCTTATCTAGACGAAACCAGCAGAACATTTGCTAAACATTAGAATAACTCTGATTTGTATTTAAATAATGTTGCGGATGTGTAATTTTCATGTCGACATGTCATTAATATAAAATGTAAAAATTTATTGCAGTTTTAATGTTTAAATTTCATCAATTGATGGGTGTAATTTTTTATTTATTTTATTTCTGTTTTCAACTTACTTTTTTAAAAAAGAATATTTTCAAGCTCTGTATGTTACTGTAGAAAGTTTCAGTAGGATTATCTCTAATGTTATGTGTGTTAGAGAATTATTTCATTTATCAAATTTTTCTAGATAAATGTTTCCATTATCTGTGATAATTCTTCCACATCATATAATTTCTACAAATTAATTCGGCTCACTTCCAATACTTTGCTCAAAAGAACTCATCTAATCTCTTATGGGTTTTTATATATGGCTAATTGTTATTGAAAATGAACTGCTAATCAATTTGACTCAATCTTACTGCATCAATAATCGACACAAAAATACTTTTATCAATAATATATCCTCTTGCTTCTATATAAAATAGATTCTTTGTGACCTTCAATTGTTTTTTAGTTTTGACAATGCATACATTTGTCATTAGTAACCTTCTTAAATACAAAGTTATTAATTCCCCGATATTTTGTATGGTTATTTTAATATTGCTTTAGATGTGTTAGTGGTTTTGTATGTAATTAAAAAAAAAGATTTGTAAAATATTGCTCTATTTATATTAAATTTGGAAAAACTATAGGTTTTAAAATTAATGCATACTTAGCAAAATTCTTGTATTATAATTGACCGATTTAACTTTCGCTATCCCCTTACTTAAAAAAGACATCTTTACTTGAAGTCGCTGAATTGTGAGTGCACAAAAGTGATGGAAATATTTAGTTATCACAAATAAATACTTTGACTAATTATCTATCTATACTTTAAGAATTAAGAGGGTGACAGAATAAGTTATGCAACATTTATAGTAATGTGTATAAAAGTACCATGTAAAAAAGCATTAACAAATAATATGCTGGTTAGATGTAGAGTATTGCTTGATAAGTCCAAGTAAGACTCAAAAATCTCCGCTACTCTCTAAAAAAAGAATGAAGGATTTCAACCAGAAAAGTATGATTTTATAAATTTATTATCCCCTTTGAAAATAAACATACTATAATTCTATAATTGGAAATCTATTCTTGTAAACATAATAAATGATACAGTATATTTGGCAATTTTCTTACTTTTTTTTTTCTGCTTTTTTTTCTTCTTTTGATTATCAATAATGTAAAGTGTTCATCAATCTTCAGTTCGTTCATCAATCAATCAAGCCCACAATCGCCTGGAAGTCCTTAAACCCTTTAAGAGAATTCAAGATGTTTCATGTTTTGTGCACAAAGAATTAAGAGTTTTTAAATAAATTTTGAAACTCTTTATACTTATATAACATTCTTGTTTTTCAAACACAAAAATGACTAACACTGTACCAATAATAATTCTTAATCATGTTATAACAATAATTCTTAATTACAATTTAATAAGTATTTGATTTTTAAATGATCACCAAAAGTTTTTTTTTAAATAATAAATTTAATATAGAATATCAACTCAAGATTTTAATATTGACTCAAGATTAAAAATAAATTGAGTGTGAGATCAATAATCAAGTGATCACTTTCAAATATAATATTGTAAACGATAGTTCCAATATCACAATGACAATTATTTTAAGTGTTTTTCTCCAATGGCATTTATTTGGTATAGTTTTTTTAACATTACAGGATTTTCTTTATGTTGCTTTTGTCTAACAAATATAAGTTTGAAATTAAAGATATTCGTTAAATTTATTAAGTTTTTGAAATGTTTGAATTTGGCCTTTCATGTGTTGTCTTCCTGCTGAAGAACCAGTTTTCTTACTTGCTATTCAAGTACAGAGTTGGACAGAGAAAATTCTAAATAAACTTGCCTTAATGCAAAAATGTCAATCAGTTAACTTTAAGTTGCTGAAAATTCATCTAATGGAGTTCTGACTTGCCAGTTTATGGAAGTCCAAAGGAGACCGTAGAACTTAAACATCTTTGAAAGATTGCAAAAGTTAAATTTTAATAATGATTGAAATTTTCCTTAAGACATGCTGATTTGTTTGTCATAAGTAAAGAAAATATAATTACTTTTTTATTAGTAGTATTTGAGTCAAATGACTAATTACAAAGTAACAGTAATTAATTAAGTTTAATTGTCTGGAGTTAACTGTAATTGAATAATACAAACATTTTTAAGTGTGATCTGTTTTTGATCAGCTCTTCCTTTGAAAATTGAAAATATTCTGCTTTATACTTATTGATTGTGATATTTATTCAACATTAAGTGTTTTGATGGTGTAATATTTTTGCCTTGTATATATTAACAAAAAGAGATTGAAATTTGTTACNAACATTAAGTTGCTGAAAATTCGTCTAATGGCTAATGCCAGTTTATGGAGGTCCAAAAGAAACTGTAGAACTTAAACATCTTTGAAAGATTGCGAAAGTTAAATTTTAATAATGATTGAAATGTATTTTCCTTAAGACATGCTGACTCGTTTGTCATAAGTAAATAAAATATAACTACATGTTTTATTATTTGAGTCAAATGACTAATTACAAAGTAATAGTAATTGATTAAGTTTAATTATCTAGAGTTAACCGTAATTAAATAATACAAGCATTTTTAAGTGTGATCTGTTTTTGATCAGCTCTTCCTTTGAAACTTGAAAAGATTCTATTTCATACTTATTGATTGTGATATTTATTCAACATTAAGTGTTTTGATGGTGTAATATTTTTGCCTTGTATATATTAACAAAAAGAGATTAAAATTTGTTACATTGAAATACTGTTATAGTTATTCGTACTGTTGTGATCAATATAGATATGTTATCTATTAATTCATCTGTTCAGAATGGTTAGTTATTATTTTTAATTTATAAACTTTGTTATATGTATTAACTAAAGTCTCAGGTTGTATTTGTTTATATCAAAGAAAGGTGTTTGATGGAAAAAATTGCATTTCATAACTGTTACGTAAACAGTTTTTTTTTTTTTTAATTATACTGGAAAATACTAAGAATTTGCATCAAGGTTTTCATTAAAGTGTTTCAATGTACCATTTTTTAATTTCAACAAGTCCAGCAATAGTGATTGTTACCTTTGTATATTTGAATTAATAATGTGTGTTAGTGTTTTTAAATAAAATGTGAAACGCATAATTCTGACCTGTAAAATTATTTTTCCCAGGATACTTTGTATGTAGTATGAGAGAGTTGTATATTGATCAAATAAAAATTTGAAATGTCTGACTTTTTCTCTGGATTTAATTTGTTCATTATTCTGAACTATTATTTCATGCTAATGCATAGTTGCCAACAGTCCTGATTAAATCGTATTTGTTCTGATTTTTAGCTTTGTTTCGAAAAAAGGATTTTAGGTCAAAGTGTTCTGATTTTTCCCCCTTATACTGATTTTCTTGTAACTAGAAGCAGGGCATGTGATTTTTCCGCAAATATCATAGAATTCCGCTTATATCAAGCTTATTATT